ATCATTGTGTATACAAAAGTATACTCAATGGCTCAATGAGTCGCAAGCAGACTTTAAAAAAAAAATCGGGGGACCAGCAGATTGTGTAGTAATTGCATCACTCGACTCTCACATGGTCAACCTCAGATCAATCCCAGACTCGATAGCTTGAAACGCATGCTGGGCTTGTGTATGTGCATACATGCCCAAGATCACAGGAGGAAAATGAAAGAGAAGGGTTGCAGTGTGGCCATCCCCTTTGGTGGGTGATTTCTTACTTTCTCACTCACTCTTTCTGTCTGTCTCTGTCTGTCTGTCTCTCTGTCTCCCTCTCTCTCTCTCTCTCTGTCTCTGTCTCCAGCAAGCACACATTCTCTATAGCAAAAACCTCTAAACAACATAAATAAATATAAATAAAATAATAAAAAGAAGAAGAGAGACAGACCAATTAGTTTATTATAAAACAACCAAAGGTATAAAAGAAAAGATACCTCCAAAAGAACATCAAATAGGTACCAGCAGATGGCATAATGGTTATATCACTGGACTCCCACATGGCTGACCATGGTTCAAGTCCCAGACCTGGTGGGTTAAAACTCATAGCAGATACATGTGCATGCATGTCTAAAATCCTAAGAGAAGAATGGAGAAGGGACTGCGGCATGGCTATCTCCCCAGGGTGTGATTTCTTGCTTTCTGTCTCTCTGTCTCTCTCTCTCTCCAGCTTTAGCAATAATACAGTCTTGACCTAGAAAAACTATGGTACCCTAGAACTCTCCATATGCATCCATAGATATGCCCTATAGCAAAAATCTCTCTAAAAACACACATAAAAAAGAACATCAAACAGACTGACAACAGTCTTCTTGACAGTGTGACCCATAAAGAAGACATAGATAAATATCTTCAGTGTGTTGAAAGAAAAAAGTTCCTATGAATTTTATATTCAGTAAAATCTTATTTCAAGAATGAGCAAGAAATAAATAAAATGTTAAATAAAAACTGAGGCTAATAAATCAACCCTATTAAAGAAAATCCGAGGGGACAACTCCATGGCCAACCAGCTCAAATCTCAGCACCAGAGGCTTTTAAAAAATGCCAGCATATATGCATCCATGTTCCAAATCCAGACAGAATGGAGAAATGGAGGAAAAAGGGATTGTGACATGACCATGCCCTGAGGGTGATGGTGGGGGGATGCTCTTTCTCGATAGAGAATCTCTCTCCTGATAGACAGATAGATAAATCTATATCTATATATCCTCTCTCTAGATAAAGATATATACATATACATTGTGTATATATGCATATATGTGTGTGTGCATGCACACATATGTTCACTATGTATATGTGTGTGTGTGTGTGTCTGTATATATACATATATAGGTCACAAGAAAAGTCATGAAGTATTTTTCTATGTTTTTATTTTTAGAGAGATTTTTTGCTATAGGATGCATGCACTCACCAGAGAGACAGAAAGTGAGAGATCATCCCCCAGGGGATATCAAACTGCAACCCCTTTTCCTCCATTCTCCCCTCAGGATCTTAGGCATGCATGCCTGGCATGAGTTTTAAGCTGCCAGGTCCAGGACTTGAACAGCAGTCAACTACATGGGAGTCCAGTAATGTAACCATTACACCATCTGCTGGTCCATGTTCTTCTATGCAAAAATGCATCATGACTTTCCCGAAGACTATATTATAGTAAATGCACATGCCATTTTTTTTGGGGGGGGACCCTAAAGAGTATGTTATAAAAAGAAAATAATTGCAGCTAGAGGGCTGAAGATACAAGAAGGAATGGTATGCAAATATACAAGTACACAGACAAACCTAAATGCTAACAACAGAAAACCATAATAACATCTGATTTATGAGGATAAAAGAATATAAAATAAATCTCAGGTAATAAACAGCAACAGAATAAGGTTAGAGGTAGAGATCCATATCAAATGTTCAAAAGTCCTTAAAATGAAAGAAAGGAATAGTATTTTAGAGATCGTGTATATTAAACTAGCAAAAATAGAGCCACCTGGTGGCTGGACGGTTAGGGCAGCTGGATCCCACAGGGTTAACCACATGGTTCGAGTCCTAGACCTAACCTGTGCAAGCCCAAAATCCTAACAGGAGGTATAAATGGAGGAGAAAGGACTACAGCATGATCATTCCCCTTGATGGGTGCTTTCCCATTTTCTCTCTCTCTCTGGAAAGCACACAGCCCTTCCGGCAAAATCACACACACACACACACACACACACACACACACACACACACCAAAAATAAGGAGACACTGAAAGAATACAATAAAATGCATAATTTCCAAACTAGTAGAAAGGCCCAAGATTAATCCCAGCAATATATTCTACCACATGAAGGTCAGTTACCAACAAGAGACAAGAACAATGAACAGCTGAAGAGGTAAGAACAAAAACAAAAGAAAGTGGTGCAAAGAACAGACAAGAGTAATGAGAAGAAGAAATCTAAATGGAGACCAAAAAAAGAGGAAGAAATAGAAACGCTAGACAAAAAGGAAACACACAAAGAGTAGTAAAAATAAGTAAAAATACATCAATAACCAAAAGAACTCAAATAGGTTCTCCCAGTTAAAAGATAAGTTATATATTGTTTATTAAAAAAAAAAAACTGGGAACCAGCAGTTAGCGTAATGGCTATGTCGCTGGACTCCCACGTAGTCGACCGCGGTTCGTGTCCCGGACCCGGTGGCTTAAAACTCACGCCGGGCGCGTGTGCGTGCGTGCCCAAGATCCCGAGAGGAGAATGGAGGAGAAGGGATTGCGGCGTGACCATCCCCCCTGGGGGGTGATTTCTCGCTTTCTGTCTCTATGTCTCTCTCTGTCTGTCTGGCGAACGCACGCGCCCTACAGTGAAAATCTCTCCAAAAAAAAAAAAGAAAAAAAAAAAAAAACTAAAAAGAAACTGAAAATTAAAAAGACAAAAAGATATACAAAATGTTAATAATAAAAAAGAAAAAAAATGCTGGGAGGCCAGCCCCATACCCTACTGGTTAAAGGAGCAGGATCCCTGACTACAGTTCCAATCTCAGCCCCAGCAGCTTAACAACATGTTAAGCATGTGTGTGTGTACAAGCCCAGAATCCCAACAGGATGGAGAAATAGAAAAGAAGTGATTGTGGTATGACCATACCCACTGGGAGGGGCTTTCTCCCTCTCTGTGTCTCTGGGGAACATACACACCCTCTGGCAATTTAAGAAAATGGTGTGGTATCATTCCATTCCTTGACACAATGATAAAAGATTCAATTCACCAAGAAAGATGTAACAGATCTAAGAGAGAAAGCAATGCCAGCAACCAAAAACTGTATTAGAGAAGTCTGGCTTTGAAGGAAAACAAATGATATATGATAGCTGAACTGGAGATTTCAAGCTGAAGAAAGGATTTTATTTTTGTTTTTTCATTTTTATTTTTTAGTGCTCCTTTCTTTGCTTGTTTTCATATGCATCATAGTGAACATATTTGTATACTGATGGGAAAAATTTATGATAGAGGTAAAAACTAAAGTCACAGGAAAGACAGACTTTGATAATGAGAAAGAATGGAATCTAGAGCCAAGAGAAAGGATTAATATTTGATGGAAGATATTTGTGTTCCATGTACTAAAGTAAGAAAAAGAATATAGACTTAACATAGTTTTGGTGATGAAACGAGGATGTTAACCTGATAGTTTTTATTTTCTTAAATGATATAAAAAATGATTGAAGGAAGGTGAGAAAAAGGTATAAAATGCAGGAGATTTGAGATTATAAAATGGCACAAAATAACCATCTCAGAAAGCAGGAAAATGATTCTACTAAGAAAATACAGCAGTGTTGTCAGGCATCGCTCAATATCAAAGCCAACAGGAGCTGTTGCTGTTTTTTGGTTTTTTGGGTCTGACTGAGAACGAGAATTGTTACTAGAGTTCATTCCTGGGTTATAACGAAGTACTTTGCACCCATCACATCATGAACAGTTTGAAACATTTTTTCTTAAAGACATTTCCTTAAATTTGCTCTTAATAAAGTTTAACTAATACTTTTCCTCTCCCTCTCACAATCTATGGTTAATAATTGTATTGTTGGGAAACTCATGACACATTTTTGCATAGAAAAACACGTCATGACTTTTCTAACAAACTAATACATATATACGAAGACAGACGGATAAAGAGACAGATGGTCACAGAGAGAAAAAAAGATAAAGAGATGAGTGGATAGAGAGAGAGAGAGACAGACTCAGAAACAAATGCAAGATAGCCAGACTCATCAATTGAACAGAAGGGAAGGTAGAATGGAGAAGAGAGGACTGGAGAGGGGGTACCTTTGGGCCAGAAAGGGGCAAATGACAACAACTGTCAAAGGAAAGAGTATGATCTCTAAGTGGCAGTATTATGAGTGGTTTTTATGTTCTTTTCTTGCTTTATCTCCTTTTTCTATAATGACCAAATAATTACTTGTATGTTAAAAAAAATAGTAATGCAACTATTAAGGCTGACTTTCAAAAAAAATTTGAGGCTTTTGTTGATGTCTTTTCACTTATTTAGATTTTAATAAGATATCAAAGATAGAAGTCTATATAACATCATAAATGAAGACAGAAAATAATGTATAAATTTTTTAGATAACCTAATTTTTCATTAGCCTAGTAGTTTATAACAATACACACAGAGAGACATACTAAATAACTAGTAATTCTTTATAAACAGGCTAAAAAAGCTTCATTAAGTAGAGATGACACTAACATTAAAGACAAATTACTAATATTATTTTTTAGTCTTATTTTTCAGTTCTAGTATCTACTTTCTCAATCTTGCAACTAAGCACAGGTGTGTATATATATATATATATATATAAAAATATGATTCAAATGTTACATTCCTGTTTCTAAGAAAAATGAACTTTTTCTACAAAAGACAAGTTTAAGTTATCAATCATTACTGCAAATATTTGTTATTTTCTCCTCAAATAATATTTAATTTTATTTCTAGATTATGATTTTCATACCTCTGAAGAGCTTTCATTGTTGACATCTGTGTTTATAGGAGTTGCTGATGAATCTAAATCAGAACCTTGAGAGCCAACTCTCCCAGGAGTCTGAAACACAATCAAAAAGAGGGAAAAATCAAAACAGAAAGTAATAATATAATGAAGTAATTTACTCTAAATATTTCCATATAAGAAAAGTAGATGTTTTCACAATAATAGTAGCATCAATAGTATCTTTTAAGGAAGGTTATGCCTAGTACTATATCAAAATTTTCATATGTATTCTCTCATTTTCAGTCTTTTTAAATTAACAAGGTTTTCTTCTGTATGTAATGTTTTATTGTCTTCAACCCACATAAACAAAATATCTATTTAATAATAATGACATATCTGAGAGGCAAGGCAGATGTCATCTCTGTAGAGGAGAAAACAGATTGAAAATAGCTAAGTGATCTGCTCATGATTGTACCATCAAAAATCAGAAAGAAGCAGAACTAAAATGCTGATTGTCTGATTCCTCTTGTATTGCTCTCTTTATTATGCCAACTAAAACTACAATGATTTAAGGGGTGTCAAAAAGACCTATGTAGCCCAGACCACCAGATCACCAGTTCCTCTACTGCTCAGGTCAACCATAACCAGTCTGTCTCCAATATTTAATATGACATCACCAAAGAACATCTTAGAGGGTTAAAGGTCCTTCTTTTTCCCCTGCAATATTTATCATCTAACATTTTATTCATTATTACCACGGTATTTCTTTAAATGAATTTCAAGTCTAGTAAAACATTGCATAAAAGAGATTTAGAGCATAGGCACTGACTCGACAATCCTCATACTTGCTAGTGTTATTCCTGCTCTATACAAGAGAGAACCAAGGCACAGAGACTAAGTAAACTCCCCAATCCTATTGCTAATCAATGGAAGAACAGAGTTTAATTTGATAGTGTGGCTCCTAATCATGAATCCACATTCTCTGCTAGGCATGTCAAGGTTGAGAACAATTCAATATACAATCATCTAAATGCACAAACATACTATACATCACTATTTAATATTTAACCTAAGTGTCCAATAAGGATGGACTGATGCTATTGGGTCATCGGGAAAGTTATGACACATTTTTGCACAGAAAAACAAAGAAAAAAATGTTACGACTTTCCAATCACCCAATACTTTGAATGTACCAATTAAAACTGCATGGAAAAATATACACAGTGTAATTATAGTAATATATATAAACTACTTCCATAAAAAATTTTAAATGACTATTCCAAATGCAAATAATAATTAGAATTTTCAGAGCTCAGGGTTCTGTGAGTCTGACTAAAGAATGACAAGGGAGAAGGATTGTCTTGTGTAACTGTGTTTTCAATGTATTGTAGGTGACTAAAGAACATCAAAGGCACACTTCAGAAGGCAGAGCCAGGTATATCTTACTAACAAATGACAAAAAGAAAACTAAACATTGGTTAGAGAGGGGATAAATGATAGAACCTAAAAACAGTAGTGGCCACTAAACCCTGATGATTATTCAAATGAGGAAGAAAGCAACAGAATTTCAGTAAAGTACTAAGGACAGAGAATGCAAAGAGAATCTCTGCCAATGGTAAAAAGAAAATGAGAGGACTCTTACAAGAGGAATCAGAAAATGAGAGGATTTGGACCTGATGAGTCTCCACTTGGTTTTCAATATCAGGAGAGACTACCCAAAATAATGAAATTGTGTTGCCTCTATCCTGAGAGAAGTTAGGAGAAAATAAGGTAATGAATACAGGAGTGAAATACACACAAATTTTGAAAATTACTGAACAAGAATGAATCCCACCTCAGCTTAATGGGAAAGAAGTAGGAAGAAATCCCAACACTGAGAAGGAAGTTAAAAGCCTCAAAGTCACCTTGTTTCTATTTCCTTTTTAGGCTTAAGGATCTAGCATAAAAGCAGCAATCTCTTCACAAGCACTCAACTGACAGGAAGAGTGATATACAGAAAGAACTATAAAATTATAAAGCTAAACACAAGGAAAAGCTATATCAACTTCAATTTGCTATAGGCTTTGGTAAGGTTGCACTTTGCTTTTACCCAGACCTATCAGCAGGCCAGGTCTCATTTCAGAACCTGAACATAACCTGTGTCAGCTTGGTTTTCACACTTTCTTTGGGGGTTTCCACTTCCTACACCTTGAGAAGGTATGGCAGGAAACAACCAAAAAGAGGGAGTGGTGATGCCAAACATCCATAAAAGGTCCCAGACTCCTGGATCCCTAAGGACTCAAAGGGCTGGACCTGACATTCCTGATACATAACATAGACAACTTTATCCTACTAACTGTAACCCATCCTCACTGGGAAGGTCAGGCTTATCTTTTGGGGCACTGAGTAGGGTCAGTTTTTTATCTATAATCTCATCCTCACTTTGTGATGTGCTATAGGTGTTAGAAGTCAGAGTGAAGATGACTCTGGGCCTCCATTATCTTCTTCCTTTTGCTCTTTCTCATCCTCTTTCTCCTTGCCATCTTCTCAAGATTCCTATGCTTTTTGGGGAGTGAGTTTAGCTTTCTCCTCTGGGCGGAGGCATGCCAGGATCTTGCAAAACCTTAGCCACCTGAGCTAAGCTTTAGGAGTTAGGTGTCCCCTCCTAAAGCTCTGATAATTATTCCAAAGTTCTCTTCAGAAAGTTATTCTCCCATTCCCTGTCTCTTAAGTACCTGGTAATAGGTTCAAGTCTTCAGTGACATGTTTTGGACTGGAGATTGGAGATCTACCTCTGTCACTAAGTATTTTCTTTTCTTTTCTGTTTTTTTTTTTTTTTTTTTTTTTTTTTCCTGCTATGCTGACCACAACCAGCTTTGCAGAAATAAAGAACTCAACAAGAGGATCAAGAATCAAATGATAAAGAAGTGTTAAAGCATTATTCCTGACCTTTTTCCAATGATGTATCCTTAGTTATCATGGAGACAACAGGTACACTGAACTTAGATTACACCTCTGGACCTGTCTAGAGTCCTTAGGGCCAGACAGTGACATAGCAGTAGCACAACTGGACTCACACAGGAAAAGTTCTGGTTTATGTCCTGAGATCTCCCTAAGTATGTTGGGCATACACACGGTAGCCAAAAATCCCAGCAGGCTGAGACTGCAGGTGGATCATAGCATGAAGATTCTATTAAAGGGTGCCCATCTTTCTCCCTCTCTCTCACATGAAAGAGAGAGAGAGAAAGTTAAAGGGGGGGGGAGTTTTCAGGTTATTTTTCTTGACCTAGGGGATCTAGTTTTCCTGATACAGTTGGAAGAGCAGGCCTCGGTTTCCACTTTCTATTTAAATTTTTCCAAAATCCAACTTTCTAAAATTTGCTGAACTTATTCAGAATATCTCTTATTGTTGTATCAGGTACATGCCCCTAAAAACTATTTTTAAATAATTATTATTTTATTTTATCATCATTATTTTTTTAAATTTGCTATAGGGCACATGCTATCACCAAACAGGGACAAAGAGAGAGAAAGCAAGCTGCCAAGTCCAGGACTTGAACTGTTGTCAGCCATACGGGAGACCAGTGACTTAGCCACCATGCCAACTCCTGGTCCTTTCTTAAAACTATTATACCAGCCATGTATATATATTGACTATATCCCTCTAAAAAGTAAAGCTAGATTCTTTCCCCAAATGATAAACTCAAGACATGAGTGTATAAATAAATGTCAGCTCTGGACTTAAAGATACAGATGTGACAAAAAATAAATAATAAAACTCTTAAATTTACATTATACATTTAACATAAAGAATTATATAAAGCATGATTCACTTTGATTCATTAACATTTCTCCTTTTTTCCCTTTATTTATTTATTTTTCTTTTAAGGGTACACACACTCACCAGAGAGACAGAGAGAGGAAGAAAGCATCCCCCAATGGTGCATGGTTACACCACAATCCCTTCTTCTCAATTTCTCTATCTTGTTGGGGTTTGGGGCATGCATCCAGGATATTTTTCAAGCCACCAGGACTAGGATTCAAACTGCAGTCAGCCATCTGAGAACTAGCTCCCTTAAATCCTAGGCTACATAGCCCAATTCATTAACATTTCAATAGTTTCACACTGTAATGGTTTTAAAAAATCCATCCCTAAAGGCCTTGGAAATAAAATCTATACCTAGGAAAAAGAAAAGCAGTTCAGAACAGTCTCTAGAATGTAAAGACCATTTAAATTTTAAAAGCCTGAGTAAAACATGAACCTGAGACTTTGGTTCCACTCCCACCAGAGTTACTGCCCAAAAGACATGTTACAACTTATAGTAAACAAACTGTGATGCTGCAAAAGGTTATAGATTTACAATGTGACGTTCATCCCTTTTTCTCCCAGTGTTCTCTAACACAGTCAATCAGTTATCTGTGTTATTTTAAATGGACTAATGTAAATTTTTGACAATTTGTAACCTGCCCTACTCTTGCCTTTCTCTTCATTATGTAAACCAGTCTTCTCTGCAACCATTTCGGTGAACACATTTCTGGGCAAACAGGAGTCTATGTCACTGGGACAACTTGCCCTAAACCCTGGCTCAAATAAATCACCTTTATTTCATTTATCACATCTCAGCTTTCTCTTCAGGCTGCCACTTTCAAAAAACTATTTTCCCCAATTCTGTATTTTTTATGTTTTCAGATTGCAGGCTTTTCACCTTGTCTGACAAGAAGTAAGCAAATCAAAGAAATATTAAATTTCTTCATAATCCTATTACCACCACCAAAAATACCCTTTCTCAAATTTATCTAAAATAATCCTAAATGTCAGTAAGTCCAAGAAATATAGGGAATGAGAGAAGAAAAAAATAGAGAAATCAACATAAGATGTATGTTTGTGACAGCCATATTTTATACACACTTGCCCTGATTATGGCTAAACTGTCAAAGAACCTCTGTACTTAGGCCACCAAAATCCCATTACTTCAATGAGAAGCCTAATTGCAATAACATTGACCCTGAAAAAACAATATATTCTAACTTTTCTCTTATTAAAGTTTTATTTTGGGGCCAGCCAAGGCGTGGTAGTTAAGATGACTAGATTTCAAATGGCAGATTGAACAGTTCAAATCCTTAACTCAGAGGCT